TATATATGTTTGTAATCAATGTGGAGTCTTATATTTCATTGTTCTCAACAAATAGCTGCCAAATCACAAAATCATTAAGTTTTTACTTCAGTGAGCCAAGTAAAATGTCTATGCCTCGAATTTAGAAATGCAATCATTGAGTTTGCAAGGCTCTTTGTCATCCGATGCATCTCTCTTGATCATCTCAGTCTGTTTAGGCAATCATTTAGAAGCAGTCAAATCCAGGATTTAATAAGCCTTTATACTATAGGGATTACTTCTAACCATTTGGATATGTTGCATACCACCATACCGTAGACAAGCAAAGCATGGCATGGCAAAGCTAATTGTATAGCACAGGCAACAAGAGAATTGAAAATATTGTACAAGAACAAAACATAACAGGAAAACACACAGAGAAACTCTATTATCTGAGATACAGGGAGTAAATGTAACAACTATAGAATTTCTTAGTTTTAGTGAGAACACAGGCATTAGCATTCTGGATCACCTGCAGCTGTAGGGTTCAATCTGTAAGAATGCCAAAGCAGTAATCTAGTCTACTTAAGATAAACGCCTGAGAGCAGCTTTTTCCAGCTGAGATATTACTCCTTCAATTTTTAAATCCTGGAAATGCTCTTCAGGTGAAAGAAGGCTGACTTTGTTAATGTCTTTATGTGTCTCTGTAGGTTCTGTTCATCACTACACCCTGATTTTGAGCCTGACTAGTAACCTACATTCTAACCATTCCTCCTGTTATTCAAAAATTATTATTTCAGTTTAGTTTTTATTCATCAGAAGACTATTTGTGCACATCCATGCCTTTATTTCTTCTATGCATTTAACAAGTGCTTAAATAGGTTTACAGTTACTTTGTGACATCGTAATAAAGAGCTGTTTCGTCTGCATAGTTATGGTAACTTTTGTTGCTTTTTATTATAATCTGTGCTAGAGGGAGCTAGAGGGAGCATGTAGAATACAATGAGCCCTAAGAATGTCACATGTCACTTTTGTGGTCTCTGTTTTAAAGCTTCCCTTTGACACAAAAAGTCTCTGTACTTGATGTAAACCTCTAGCAGAAAGACTGACCCAGTTTTCCAGGCCCTGCATAGAATGGAGTGATAAATAGTGTTGAATGCTGCACTTAGATCCAAAAATACCAAACCCCCTAGTTAAAGGTATAGTGAAAGATTTTTTGCACATTTTTGAAAATACCTGCCCTCTCCACTTTAAAAATAAGACGGGTGCAAGAGCCTGCATAAACCCATTTCTCCTTGTGCACGCTCTATTTAATGTTGTTTGCTTCGTTCATACAATCTTACTTTCCTAAAGGAGATTTGCAATATTTCCACTATGTCAGACTCTACACCTGTAACAGAAAATTGGGACCAGCACATAGGGCAGCTTTATGTAAACATATCATCAGTATGGTTGACAATTACTGCAGCAGGACCCCTTATTTTGATGATCCACGTGGAAAAAGAACATCCTCCACTATACCTTTAAGTGAACAAGATAAAGGAACGTTAAGCATGGTTTTAAGTTTCTAAACCTGCATTGTCTACCTCTACAATCCATACAGGCTGAACCAAATGCCCACATTACGCCTTTCAGACAGTTGGCATCATATATCTTAGCTCTCCTGCTCTGTCCCTGCATCTGCAACAAATTCCAGTCATCTCCCACAGCAAAATATATTCACTGATTGTATGTAATGCCATTTCAATGTTATTTTAAACATTAAGGCTGGAAAACTATTCTTTTCTAACTCAGTTACTCCTAACATTGGATATTATATACAGATGGGGTAATAAAATCTACCTGTATTTCCTATTTTTCACATAGTTAGAGCTGTTCTACTATGAACCACTAGATGGCAGCATCGTTATGAGGTGAGACTGGCTTCAAGAACGAGTGTTTATTTTTTTAGGGTTGATTTCCACAACACCTGGCTTTCATCAGTAGAGAGAGTGACTGCATTACCTCTTGGTTACCGTGACAACCTCCACTGTAAAACAAAAGGAAGTGATGGCAACACTAATAAAAACAAACATGTCTAATGCACATTTAACACAAAGGAGCTCTGGAATCACAGCACCTGATTGACCACTATGCTGTCAGTTTGTTTTTTGGTTTATATATATATATATATATATATATATATATAT